GAGTTACAGGTTGATCTGTGTCTGAATGGATTAAATATTAAATAGTTGTGAGTTAAGATGGAGTTTGATGGATTGAAGTGAGCAAACAGCTTCAAGCAGCAGAGAGACGTGTTGCTGCTCTGATAACGTTCAGGACCTTACCGCTCCGTCTTATTATTTAAAGGTGACCCTGCCTGTGTTTGAAAGCTGCTGTGTGAACACTCTTTTTTTCCCATGGTCCTTTGGGGCTCCGGCGAGGTGAGGCCTCGTCCCCCTCACGTCGCCCCTCTCTCAGTGCCAGCTCTACTGGCTTTAATCCTGCGAGGCGTACCTGGCAGATCGCTGTGGCTCCGTAGCGGCCTAACCCGGCCTGTAATCCATAAGTAGGCCACCAGCAGCCGGCCAATCACAGCCGAGCATCTCAACTCTGTCTGAACAGAAGCTGCCGACTGAACTTTGACACCGAGACCTTTCAGCAGCAGCAGTGTGATGCCTTCTGGTTTCATCTTCATCGCCTTCTTTCCTCGTTCTGCTGCTGCTCTTCTTCTTCTCTTGTTGTAATCTGCGAGTCAGACACTCCGCAACTAAACCACTCACTTATGTTTCATACAAACATTGTGCTTAAAATTAGAGCGTAAACAACATAAGTACAGAAAATAAATATTACTATCGTTACTTCACGATAACTCAACACTTTGGTTTGTTTCACATTTCCTCTCCTGAGTTATGTATTCATCTCAGAGAGCTGATGTAATCACACATAATAATAATACTTCACTAGATTGGTTGTTTTCTATCCTCATTGGCTGCTGACTCCTCCTCTTAAAGGGCCGGTAGTCATTAAAACACTGCCAGACTAAAAGCTACGGTCTGTTGATGATCCATGAAGAAGAACCGGAGCGTCTGCAGATTCATTCCAGAGCTGAAGGTTCTGATCCACTAAAGTTAGACTACGAGATACGACATGAACTAAAGATCTTCACCGTGAAGGAGTTCTTGTTGTTGTTGTTACTCTTCTTCATCTTCCTCTTCTTCCTCCTCTTGAACCTGAACCATGATGACATACTGAGCCAGCTATCTTTAGTCTTAACTCAGGTTTTTCGGTCCAATCAGCTCACTGGTAAAACTCAAGTTCCTCCTCCTCCTCCTCCTCCTCCTCCTCCAGGGTCACAGGTCAGGTGGTGTGAATGGAGAGCCTGGTCGGTCTCCGTCAGTAAGGATTAGGTTGCGAGGCGGAGGCCTCATCATGGTTCCTTAAGGAAGGAGCAGAGGTACTAATACTGTGCACGTGAACATGCACAGTATTAGTACCTCTGCTTCACTGAATATACTTTATTAAATAATATATAATAATTATTGTCATATCTTCCAACCAAACATACAGAGCCACAAGATGCTGAGTTAGCAGGATTTTATAGGAGTGCCATAAAAATAAAATAAATCAGTGAAATAATAATGGAATAAATGTGGAAATATAAAGAAGAATAAATAAAATATTAGAAAACAATTAAAATGACAAATTAAAGAGCAATAAATAAATGGAATAAAAAATGGAAATATTAAGACGACTAAGGAACTATAATTAAAATTATAAGCGTTTTCATTGATTTCTGTATTTATTTAATAATATATTTTCAAAAATAAATTGATTTTTTTAAAGAAATGTATTCTGTATATTTAAAAAATGTAGATTAATTTATTCTCATATGTGATTTATGTGTTATTTTTATCGCTATAACAAGATGTCAGCGACCAAAAACCACGATGACGTAAAACAGCAACGGGTGACGTCATGATTACCAAACAGTCTGTGAGTCTCACACGGGACACTCACAGAGGTCTGCTGGGTGAAAGTCCGATGGTTTTTACTTCCTGGTTCACAAATATCTCTTTGATTTACATATTAATGGATTTCTTGACATTTAATGAACTACAGCGCATCACTTTCCCAACATTTGTCTCCGTCATTTAGTGTGAAATGAAGTGACGCAGTACAGAGAGACAGGACCTTCACCCAGGAGACCAGAGTTCATGTCTTCAGTGACGTTTGTTCTTCACAGACATGAACCTGCAGATGAAAGCGTTGGAGGTGACGATTGTCTGAGATCGGTTACCGTGACTCTACATCCCTGTGTGGAGTCGGTTGTTTTAAAGAATGCGTTGAGTCGGTTTAATGAAGCCGAGCCTCGGCTCCACTAATGAGTCGAGTCCCTCGTTAGACAAAGAGCCCAAATACCTGACGGCCTCCAGTCGTGTTCTCTTCTTCATGGGAAAGAATGTGTAATGGAAAAAATTCCTATCCCCGCTTTGCGTGAGTCTCTTCATGCTGAAATACATAAAACCAACAACCAGGTTGTCTTTTAAGTATTTATTCTCTGCGCAGAGAAGGTTCAATCATCACAACAGAATGCGTTCAGTCTCAGTGAGGAAGAACCAAGAAACAAGTGAACAAGCTTTCTTTACACAGAATGAGCAAAGGTGGGGGCCGATGGCCAGTGTTACACATCTCAGTCTCAGACGTCTGGTCTCAGACTGAGAGGAACAACAATGAACAACAAACGGTCAGCAACCAAAGCAAGCGGCCCAAAGGCCTCGGTGCTGGAACATCCTCACACAACAGTTAGTTATCTCTGTGAGACACCGTGAAGTTCAACCAAGTTCAGAGCAAAATTACTTACGCATGAATACGATATACTGAGTAGAAATAGATATTAAGTAGAAATATATACAACATAAAAAATTACCATTACAAATGTCAGCAGTTTATTGAGACCGTCTAATTAAGAGGAGACACGGTCATCAAGTCCTCTTTTTATTTAACTTACTGTATTTACTGACAGCGACTAAAGCTTAAAGCAGGATTCACACGCAAGGAAAACGTTCTCTGACTGCGTAATAACTTCATTAAAATAAAGATTTAAAATGTAATTCACATTCCACGATTTATTGCAACAATGAGTTCACAATCAGAGTCCAACAGGTGAGGCAGTCAGGTGACGACACGTGTATATATCTATATCTATATAATATCTATATCTATATTTATCTATATGTATATAACATCTATCTATATGACCTATATCTATATATCTATATGATCGATATCTATATTTATCTATATGTATATAACATCTATCTATATGACCTATATCTATATAATATCTATATGATCTATATCTATATGATCTATATCTATATGATCTATATCTATATGACCTATATCTATATATCTATATGATCTATATCTATATTTATCTATATGTATATATCATCTATCTATATGACCTATATCTATATAATATCTATATGATCTATATCTATATGATCTATATCTATATGATCTATATCTATATCTCTGAGGTTTATTAGTCTCTTGCAGGTTTTAAACTATATTTCTCGGATCAGTGAAGACTGATCTCCATGTTCTCCTTGTTCTCCTGGAGGAGACAGAAAACTCTCATTATCACATGAATAACTTTCCTCTATAAAGTATTAATAACTTCTAGTGTCTCCAGAATTAGAACACACAGAACTCACACGCTTGTGAGCGCGTGTGTCCCGGTCTAGGATTTGCTGGTCGGGGAGCTGCCTCCCTCCGCCTGGCTCTCACGGCCCCGAGGAGGGAGGCAGGAATCCCGGACGAGTGGTACGGACATCTCCGACGGAGACCGAGAACCCGGCGCGCTTTAAACACGTCTTATGACTAGAGACCGGCTCAGAGAGACACGACCGGGGGACCGGACCAGAGACCTGCACCTGGGGACAGAGAGAGGACCAGAGACCAGAGACCAGACAAGAGGACCGAACCAGAGACCAGAGACCAAAGACCAGACAAGAGGACCGAACCAGAGGACCGTGGTAGACCGTCCAGGGACCAACAGGCTGGATGGTTGGTGTCGGTCTGAGAGAACAGCTGGAGACACGACCTCACCTGTCCACAGGTAGGACCGCCTATGACATCATCACAGTAACATTTCACCTGAGACAGAAACAACAGGAAGACGTTATGAGGAATAAAGGTCATTTATTAAAAGTCATTTTAATAAACTATACTCATGTTTTTGTAGTCAGAAGTATTCTGATCATTTACTAAAGTAAAAGGAGAAAAACGGAGTAAAAGTACACGAGAAGTATACGTTTATGCTAATTATGCAGAAAAGTCAGTGAGTGTTACTATTGTATTATGTTTATAGTTTATTATAATCAGTGGTATATAATAATGTGTAACTAAGTACATTTACTCCAATACTGAAGTACAAGTTTATACTTCACTACATCTTAGAGGTAAATATTCTCACTGTACTGCATTTATTTAATAACTTTAGACATTTTACAGAATTAAAATAATAATAATCAATTATTACATTAAAGCAAAAAGTATATTATCCTGCAGAATGTACTTTTGGTATACTTGTAAAGTATATTGTGATGCTACTGTTGTGCTTTTTTTACTTGTACTACAGTAATACTTTATAATACGTTAGTCAGTCGACTTACACTGAACGGATTTAACCTGATATGAATATTACTGCTGCAGATTCCATGTTTATTCAAGTCTTACATTTGTCTTTTTTGATCATTTCTATTATAAATTTAAACTGAAACACCTTCAGTTTAAATATGTGAACTAAATGTGAACCTGGTTCTACAGGATCTAGTTTGACTCCCTCTCCTTGTCTTTGTCCTGCAGGATCCAGTTGGACACTCGGTTCCCCATCCTGCAGCAGTGAGGACATGCGTCTCCTGCCGGTGGCGTCGCTCTTCATCTGCCTCTGGTTGGTGGAGGGGAGCCGGTGTGACGGCAGCTTTCAGGGCAGTATGGCGGAGCTGCACGGCAGGTTCGCCGTCCGCCTCTACCAGACACTTACCGAAACGGAGAACAACTCCAACCTGATGGTGTCTCCGGCCAGCGTGTCCTCGTCTCTGGGGCTGCTGCAGCTCGGTGCCAGGGGCAACACGCTGGCTCAGCTGGAGGCCACGTTAGGATACAACGTGAAGGGTAGGAGGCATCAGGGTCCATCAGGGTCCATCAGGGTCCATCGGCGACCATCAGGGACCATCAGGGTCCATCAGGGTCCATCGGCGACCATCAGGGTCCATCAGGGTCCATCGGCGACCATCAGGGTCCATCAGGGTCCATCGGCGACCATCAGGGACCATCAGGGTCCATCAGGGACCAGCAGGGACCAGCAGAGCTCAGCGGTGTCTGAGCCACGCTGTCTTTAATATGTTGTTCTTGTGTTTATTATAAATAAATGACACTAATGCAAAGAAACACAAGTTCAGAGTCACAAGAGCCTCACGAAGGAGAATAAATCAGTAAAAGAAGAAGAGACGAGGAAACAATAACAGAATAAATAAGTAAATACAAATGTACAACATTTAATTATTAGAATGATTTGATTTTCACATTTGTTCATTTATATTTTTATTTTATATATTTTAATATGACGGAATTCTGTATATTTAGAATAAATGTAATTTATTTATTTTTCTCTCTTGAAAAACAAAAAACAAGGAAAATAATAAGAAACAATAAAGAGAAAGAAATTAATATATAATTTTAAAAAAATAAAAACAATTTAATAATACACAAACTAAATATTCAAACAAAAAATAAATAAATAATATATATATATATATATATATATATATATATATATATATTTACAGAAATTAATGTGACGACAGTTGAATATGCTTTGAGTTATTCCTTCATAGTCCTCACCCATCCTCCGTGTCTTCCCGTCCTGCAGACGTCCAGGTCCACGACTTCCTGCTTCATTCCCACAGAGACGCCAGCAACAGCAGCCAGGACCCGATGCTGCACCAGAGCTGCACGCTGTTCGTGCAGAGCGGCGTTCAGCTGCTGACCGACTTCACGCGGCGCGCGGCGGCGTGGACCGACTTCAGCCAACTGAACCACACGGGACACACCGCCGGTACGAGACGCTCGGCGTATAGAAGCTCTTAGCAGCTGAACACGCACACGTCTCTGAGGAGCTTCTCTGCCCCCTAGTGGCCACAGAATATCTCCTCATGCAGCTTTAACTTTCCTCTTTCTCAGAGCACATGGAGTGTTTTGCTCCTCAGATAATATTCAGTATTACGAGGTAATATTCAGTACGATCAGAGGAAAGTCTGTTAAGCACCAATAAGGGTAATATGAAGATGATTGTGTGTCTGCTTAGTCTTAAACTTTGTTTCTTGAGATCTAATAGATGCAGCTTGTTCTCCCTCGTTAAACATGTTACCGTCTTTTTATGAACATGCATACGTTCAAAAACAATAGTGTTAGAAGTTAAACAGCTCATAATTCATCCCCCCCAGAGGAGCCGTGGTCCCTCCAGGCAGGAAGCAGCAGTGGGGACCTGTCGGGCTCTGGTGAGCCCCAGGCCGAGGCCCCATGGTGGGGCCAGAGGCTGCAGATGGCTCTGGTCAACACTGTGGCCTTCAGGGGCGTCTGGCAGAAACAGTTCTTGTTCAGCAGCACACAGAACCTGCCCTTCATCCTCTCTGACGGGACCGCCGTCAAAGTACCCATGATGCACCAGGCCAGCGAGGTCAGCTTTGGTAAGAGTCATTTTTCTCTTCTGACAATAACGTGAATAGTTGTGATGGTTTCATATCTTTGTGTTTGTGGTTATCGATGAGGTGAAATGAGTCAGAGTTTAGCCTTCAGCAGGATCTTTTCACAGAAATGTAATTTAATATTAAAAAACATCTTTTCTTAGTATTTAACGGTGATTTATTACAAAAAACTTTTCTCATCATTTCTCGTGCCAATTTACAGTCTTTTCAAAATAAACTTCCTTCTTCACAGAAAGCAACTTACTTATGTTTAATAAAAGATCTTTGTTTGGGTTTAAATAACGACAGAAGTGACAAGAAACCAACAAGCGACTCGGGTCGGCTGTTGGTTTCTTCGTCAGCGTAGAAGAAGTTGTTTATGTCGACATACAGAGCGGGAGTTCTTCAGGGATTCCACTACTTTCTACGGCAGCCCAGAAAGGACAAAAAACAAACACTTCTGAAACGTAGAGATACGGAGATATCCGCTCAAAACGTGTTTATTTCTGCTAAAGTTGATTTTAACATGGAGCTCTCTGAGGATCGACTCTCTGGGAGCCTCTAGTGGACGTTTGAGGAACTACAGTTTGAGTAACTTTCCATTTAGTCGGCCACAGACACGCTGCTCCTTTAAACCGACTCGCTCCCTTCAGGTCAGTTCCGGACGGCGTGGGACCAGCGCTACACCGTGTTGGAGCTGCCGTACCTGGGCCGGTCCCTCAGCCTACAGGTGGTGCTGCCCAGCGAGAGGAAGACGCCGCTGTCCTCCCTGGAGGCCCAGCTCAGCGCCCGCCAGCTGGCCTCCTGGGACACGGGCCTCCGCAGAACCAAGATGGACGTCCTCCTACCGAGGTTAAGATCATGCACCACGGGACAGAAAGTTGTTGTTTTTTATTTTAGACTCTGTAACGTCATCTTCAGAGGTACAAACTACTTCCTGTCTGCTGTTTGGCAGGTTCAGGATGCAGAACAGGTTCAACCTGAGGTCGGTGCTTCCCGCCATGGGCATCAGAGACGCCTTCGACCCGACAGCGGCGGATTTCACCGGAATATCAGGTCAGAACATTTAGTCCTTTAGATCTGGACCTTCACAAAGATCCAAAGTGAATCAGAACCAGAAACGATTTTATTGAAAAGTACACTGCACGTACGAGGTACGAGGCTCAGTGAATGATGCGTCGAGTTCCTGATTTAGCCGTCGCCATCTTGTTTTAATGCAACCAGTGAACAGGAAGTGACCATATCTGGACTGAGGAGGAGTGACGTAGAGACGCGGTATACGTCTCTGGTAGAGACCTGTCAATCAGCGTGTAGCCCCGCCC